CCCGCCATCCTCCGCTTCTCGGCCGCGTCCAAGAGGGGGGTGAGGACTGAGGGGCGTGCGGATACGTGGGAGGGAAGGAGTTGCCGAGCATTCAAGGTTGGCCCACCCTTCCATCACCCTCCTTCCTCCCCCTCCTCCCCCTCCTCCTCCTCCCTCCTCCTCCTCCCCTCCTCATCCTCCTCCTCCTCCTCCTCCTCTTCCCTCCTCCTCCTCCTCCTTCTCCTCCTCCCCTTCCTCATCCTTCTCATCCTCCCCATCCTCCTCCCTTCTTCCGTTGCCATTTTGGCCCAAGTGTTAGGGCGTTTGGGTGGGCAGCCTCGCGTAAGGGGGCGATCTCAGGGTCAGAGCCAAGCGGCCACACAGTCTCCAGTCTCTCGCGCCGCCATGCCGTTTTCGCCCGAGGATCTCGGGGCCATCCGTGGGGCCACCTGCATTCAAGTGTCGCCGCTGCGTGACAACATGAAGTCGTCCACTGCCGATCGCACTCGGGAGCTTGATGAGAAGTTCGAGTCGCAGATGGCCGAGATGAAGGTGGTCAGGAGAGTATGAATATTCAGGCGCAGGAGGCCACGACCTTGGCCCGGAACACCCCAACGCCCCGCCCATCGATGAAGATGGTTCGGTGGCCATCGAGGTGCCACCACAGCCGTCTCAGTTCATCACAGTTGCGCAGTTGGATGCCAAGCTGGTCACCATGGAAAGCGCGCTGATGAAAGCCATCAACTCTGCTCCTGGGTCCTGTGCTTCAAGTGGTGCTCTTGAGAAGTCTGTAGGAACGGTCCTTGGGAACGGTTCGACGCAACGAACAACATCAAGAGGCAGAGACGGGCATCTCCTGCACGTGATCGAGCTGCTGCTCGTGCCGCTCCTGATCGTGACAGTCGTGGCGGTCGTGGAGGCCCCCCTCAAGGTGGCGGTGGTGATGCAGGTGATCGTACAATGATGTGTATTCGTGGATTTGCAAAGAACTTGCTGTCTCGAGTCTTCCAGAAAACTATGAGCTGCTTCAGGGAACAGCTGGATCTTTGCTCGACGGGGCCAGCTCGCAGTGTCAAAGCTACACGCTATGTTGCAACATTCGGTTCCAGCCCGAGGATGCGACCAGAACCTTCTTCAGCTGGGGCGAAGAGGCTGGATCAACTGTACATCTTGTTGGAAAGATCCAAAGAATGATCAAAACGTGCCGCCCAGAGTTGGTTAATAGCAGCCCTAGCATGTCAAAGAGTTTCGCTTTGGGGTAGAAATGCGAACTATATATGCTGTGTTCGGGCAGTGGACATAACCATACAGATTGGGATCGAACCCGCACACTGGCATTCTTCACCTTACATGTTGCGAGATGGAAGAAATATGCGATTTGGTCGCGCTGTTTCCTGGTGTTCACTCTTTTGGTCGAAAGGATGCAGTCACCGTCGTGGTCATAGACGATGCCTAGCAGTTCAATGTATCCGCTGCGGTCTTGAACTGGTTCCCAAAGCTCGTCATGAGCAAGTTAGACAAGGAACCGGCCTGCTGGTGTCTTCAGGCGGAGCAGGTGTTCCATGGCAGAGAGAATAGTTTCGCGCATGGGGTGACGTTGGCGGCGGCAAGGCTACCTTGAAGAGGAGGCGTACGTCATCTACGACGCCCAGTGGGTCCAGTTCCCCCTCCTCCTCGTCTGCTGGAAGCACCTCTCCTGGGGCGCCCGTGAATACTGAGGCCGTCGGTCCAGCGCTTCGCATTCATCATGGCGCGATGAAGTTCAGTTCCTCGCCATCCCCTTCTCCTGCCGCCCAGGCGCCCCCTGCTGCAACGCGCCAACTCTGGCGCATCACGTTTTTTTGCTTGTTTGTTTTGGGTGGCGCGTTGGAATTATGCTGCTGCATGTGGGAGCTCGCGGGGTGGTCGCGCCCGTCAGCGCATGGAACACTCGTGACTAGCACGTCTTTTTGCGCGGTGCATGGCAATTGCCTCGCGGGAAACTCACGGACCCAAGAACGACCTCACCAGTTTAGATAGAGCGTTTTCAGGACTTGTTAGCGCTAGCTCGTTCTGCAAAGTTCACCGCTCGAGGGGGCTGTAATTGGCTTTGCCAGATCTGCTCAAGTGTCTCTCCCACCTTGAGGTTGAACACGCAGTGGATGGAAGGCGTCTTGTACTGCATCTTAGAGGCCCCCAGGGGTAGATGTCAATGGGGGACACGCGCCTCGAACCTGATCTAGACTGTCCTGCTGCCGGGGATATCCTACATCTGTTCTCCCGTGCCAGGCCTGGCCAGGGCCTCGCGCTCAGCGTCGCAGGGGTAGAGTGGCATTTCGAGGGGAGAAACGAAGCCAGGCACGGCATCAACGCTGCAGCGACGACGGATGATGATTCTCTCCTGCTTGATCCGTTATCCGAACTCATTGCCCTGTATGTTGGAATTCTGCAGATCGACACGACTCACCGCGTTGCTGGGCGGCGTGATGGTGCCCCTCAGTTGCATGCGCTTGCTGGTCTTGGTCGCATCTACTGGAATGCG